AGTAGTTCTGGGCTGATTCCTCACCGTTCTCATTATCATTGAAACTCCACGAGGTGGTGAGATCTTGCATGGAGCTCCAGACCGAGGGAGATTGGCAGTTAATTTATGTTTCTTTCATTTGTGAACAATTGCACCAACTGTTGTCACCTTCTCACCCAGCTGCTTGGCGATGGTCTTGTAGCCCATTCCAGCCTTGTGTAGGTCCACAATCTTGTCCCTGACATCCTTGGAAAGCTCTTTGGTCTTGGCCATGGTGAAGAGTTTGGAATCTGGATTGATTGATTGCTTCTGTGGACAGGTCTCTTTTATACAGGTAACGAGCTGAGAGGGCTCCCAATGTCAGCTCGTCCCTGACTGTACTAGTCAACACATACTAGTCCAAGCTATAATATAGCTTGGAATGTATTCATACTTGTATTGTAATAAAAAAAAGTTGGCTGCAAAAATGCACTTGAAGTTCTCGAAAACCAAAAAAAGACCATTAATATTTAACTTGACCTTTATTCAGTATGACCAGACTTCTTATCAGCATTTTCCTTTTGAACCATGTGTGTGAACTGCAACCTTGAGTGCTTAATATTTCTTGAAAACTTGAATGGTGTCACTTTCTGCTTCAGGCCTGTAACTACTATTGACGTCTGAAGAATAATCTAAATACAACTGCGGCCGGTGGGTTCTGGTTAACCTCTCCTTCTCCTCCTGTCTACCACAGATAGTCCTAGTGTTGTTGAGAGCGGCTGCTGGGGGAAAGACACACATGCATTATTTTCATAGTTGAGGGCATTTGCCTGTTTTATTGCAGACACGTGCAAATGAACAAGCTAAAAGTGTTAGTGGAAAAACTGCTGGTGAGGTGTTAATGATCCTGGATAACCAAGTCTGGCTGTGGTACTTTGAATGCATGTGTGCAAGTGCTCAAAAGTACCATAAAACCAGAAATAATATATTAATAGACAGAGCTGTAGTAGCAACAGCAGTAGTTCTAGTAGCAGTAGTAGTACAAACCAGTAGTAGTAGCAGCTATCATCATGGTGTAACTCTACTGTATCATAAGTTGTGCATGGAAGCATAGCATATTAGAAGCATATTGAGTGTAGTCAGTGCGATCGGGCAAACAGTACAATGCAGGTCTTCCTCTGGGTTTTGTCTGGAATGTGTTTACTAGGTCTGCATTGTGTGTGTGTGTGTGTGTGTGTGTGTGTGAGGGAGGGAGGGAGGGAGAGATACACACAAACTTAGGAGTGAGTTTGACAGTGTTGTCCATGTACAAACCTTGAGGCAGTACAGTGAGGAGCAACAGTGTAAACCCAGTCATGACTGTGAACTGCTGCTGTGTGCCTCCATGCACATGCGAATGCTGAGATGAATACTCGTCAAACTATAAGCATACAAAACAGTCACATTCATCTACCTGCAGCAGTATACTGTGCAGTGTGTCCATATTTAATGCATCCAGAGAACCTGAATCAGCCCAATGTTGAGGCGAGGGGGAGGGGTGGATGTGCTGCTCAAGCATGGAAACCAGCATATCCGGTTACAGGATCATAATATCACTGCAGACTCTATCATCTAGCACTGCACTACCACACACACTGACACAGCCAGCTCGTGGAATAATATGCTCATCCCACATGTATGATATGTGTTTGCAGACAGAATTGGCAGGCTAATACACACACACACACACACACACATATATATACCTGACCTCACCTCTATCATTGTGTGATTAGATTTATAGTTTTCATGAATTCATATGCTGTATATTAACACTTGCTGCTTGTTCTTTATGTTCTGTTTTTTCGTTGCTTTATTTTATTATGTTACCACCAAGGTCCACGTCCCTGAAGGCACCATGAGCTTTTCATGTAATTGTATCTAAACACGCCCTTAGCTACAAGTAGAACTTTCTTCTCTAAGATTACTTTTCAGATTTGGATGCTTTCTGATTGTATTGGCCCTCTCAATTGTAGTTAACCCTCATCAGTTCTCTTATAAAGTGTGTAGCTGCACTGGTTCAATTCTAGTTTTTAAAGATTGCCACGCTTCGTACAGATGTCTTCAGAAAGTTTTATTTTTCTCTCTCTGTGTTCGCTCAGACACCGTGAAAACTACAGACAAAGTAACAATAAAGATCTTAAATATATACAAATAGAAGCACATGAACAACATTAAGCACAAACACAACATATATACATTTTACCGTTTGCTACAGGCAAAACCAGAGAAGGGTTTATTTTGAAAGATGTTCCTATCTGGCATTCTTTTCTCATATCAGATCGCTTTGCTGCAAATGACCCTTGTCATTTGTGTATTGATTTGGATTTGTTTATCCTGCATTTTGGAAGATGGTTTCTAGGGTCAGAAAAAAGCAGGACACACTGCAGATGGAACAATAAAATAATAGGTAGATACTGGACTTTTGTTAAAGTACATCCTTGTTCAGTTAGCGTTGTCGGCCTCTGATGATTATGCATATTGATATGATTGACTGATTGATTACATACTTATTTTGAAATTGATTGTGTGGTTGGACTGTTGGAGGCCCTAAACCTGAAGTTACTCTTAAGATTTTGATTAGATTTTAAGAAGTACCTTTACATAATAACAAATAACATTCTGTTATTAGCACTATAAGTGCTGTTTTTGAATACTGTATGTTTAGCAGCTTGTAGTCCTATTTGAAAGTAATGACTGTTAAAAAGAAAAATCAATTGTGAGCTTTAGTCCAAAAATATCAGTAGTAGTGACCTTGATAACTGTAGGTTGGTTGATTTCTGTTTTGACTGGTGGCTTCTTTGCTTCAGAGGCCACAAGAGACATTTTTTATATATTTACCTCATGGGAAAACCTTTTGGAAAAAGTAGATTTAAGGCTTGCCTTTTCACTAGTATTTTACAAGGCAGTTAACAGTGTCACACTGTCTTACAGTGACCTTTAATGAAGACTGTGACTCCATTTTGGAGAGCTCCTATGTTCTTGAGTCATTTATGATTGTTTTTTCTTCTTCTGGTGTGTTCCTTTCTAGACATGGCTCATAGGGTGTAGGATGGTTTTGGGCCTGTGAACTTTGATAGTCAGTGGAAATGTGTCTGTGTGTGTTGGGGGCTGAAGTAAAGGCTATGGGATGAAAACAAAAGATGGAAAATAGGTGAAAGAAAGTGTGAGTGAAGAAGAGAAGAGGTGGAGGAGAAGGAAGGGAAGAGGAGGACAGTGAAGTGGAATGTAAGGGGTGGGGCACCCTTGGTATGTCAGCCCTGCACTCTGTGTGTATGAGTGTGTGTGAGTCTAAACACCCTGCCATGAGTCAGACATACGCAGCTGCTACAGCTCTTAATCACACACCCGCAAACTGCTTTGAAACTAACCCTGTTGCGCTTGCGCTCTCTTTGACTCTCAGTTTCTGACTTTTCTGGCACTCTCTGATTTGTCATTTTTCCCATAACCAACCACTGTAAATGTAGAAACTCATAGATGAATAAAATGTGTAGGATGCACCCATGTTCTGTCCAGCCTGAAGTCATAGCTCCAAGCTGAATTTGTGCTTCCAATCAGCCCTGTTTTCATGTTGGTCCTAGGCTTTGGTTGGTTCTGTTTTGGTAAGCTTATGACTTACTTCAAACCATAACAATAGCTATCAATTGGTTAAAGAAGAAGTAGGTAAAAAGTTATGAAGGATGTGTAGGCCAAGAAC